AAAAAAAAAAAAAGGTATGAGGAATAGGGGGGAAAAAATGAGAGAGATGAAAAATTTGTGGTTTCCATTCTCTTTGAAACAACCAAAGCTGTTGTTAACCAGCAGTTTGGCCAACAGAGAGATTCCAACAGCTGGAATCAATTAGGGGCTTTCTTAAAGGGGGACTGGCCGGCTACATGTCTCACTTCTTAATACACACACAAAAAGTTTGTTTGGAGATGGGAGTGTGTGTGTGTGTGCGTGGGGGGGGGTCCAACACGTCCATAGAAGCTGATTTGGACATTTGAACTTTCTCCCCCGCACGCAGAGGGGGGAAGTATCCTGACAAAAGCTGCTGCACTGCGTTGGACATGTTGAGTGGAATCAAGCAAAAAAACAACAGCCACATCAGCAACCTCGGGTTGATTTTTTTTGTTTTAGGACACGTTAATGAAGGGGGGGGGGGGGTTTCGACACAAAACTAACACAAACAGCTTTCACCAGGTCGTCTCTGATAAACAAGGACGTTTCTAGAACTTGACACCAAGGTGGTAACATAAACAGAGTGGTACTCCAACAGCCTTTTTTAGTCCAATGTGCAACAGCAACGTTACAGGAGATTTCGAATAACCCCCAAAAAAGGAAACGTATCATGCAACTGACTCCAAAGAGCATAAAAAAAAGCAAAATGAAGTCAATCTGGACAATCTTCAATCGAAGTCATTACCAGTACACTCAGCTTTGGGTCATTGTCGCCCTTCAAAGGACCTACAAAGCCAGCATCATGTTCACCAGGTAAAAACAAAGTCTCCATCCGTGTCACACAACAGCCTTTAAAGGGCAGCATGCGCGTGGGTGTCAAGAGGGTGCACCTCCATCACCGGGAGTTTTGAAGAGGTGTGTCCCCCAACAGTACACCTCTGTCAGGAAGTGTCTGTGAGCGTGTTCTTCTCATTAGCATTTAAGCACGAATCGACTGCATGTTTAGAGAGGCTGCCCCCCTGTGTCATCCCCCCCCAACTGACAAAAGCGCACGAGCTGCTTTGAGGACCGAGAAGCACCGACAAACCACAGAGCCTGTGCGCGTGTTTGCATGTGTGTGTGTGAGACACTCGTAATGTGCCATCAAATAAATGCTTCCCCATCACCAGCGCTGAGAGATTAATCCCTCTCGTATGCAGTGTGGGAGTATAGCGGCAGGAACGAGCGAGCGCCATTCCCAAACCCGTGCACGTCCACGAATGCAGCACACATTCTGGAGCGCCGTTGAGCGAGCCCCTACGGTGCGATACAAAAAGCGGACGATATTCAGCCTCTAATGAGGCGAAACACGCTGCGTGCCGCTCCGTCAATACAACGGAGCGGCGCCACTGTATGAGACATGTCAAGCAACATGTTTAGCTAACATCTTGGTTGTATTTTCCCTCGCGCTCCGGGCGGCTCGAACTCCCCCCCGACTTTCATCTCGTTATCTCCTCTGATATTATTTCACATTTAAGACCGTTTGGGGAAGCTTCTTACCTCATGACGAAAGTGTCGCCGGGCCAAATATATCACAAAGTTGCTCAGGTATCAACGACGGGTGACTTGTAGTTTTTTTTCTCCCCAAAAGTTCACCGCTCGGTTCAAGGCTTACGGGCGATCAGATGAAAGGGGGTGCCGACGGAGTGACAAGCGGCTTCACAGTTTGCAGGCTATCCGGTAAAAAAAAAGAAAAAAAGTACACACAAGAAGAAAAGGTAAAAAAAGAAAATTGGGATTTAAAAAAAAAAAAAGAAGAAACAGTCGAGTCCTACATGGTCCAGAGCGTCGCGGCTCCGCTGGTGGTGAACAGTCGCTGGGAGGAAAGTGGAGAATCGCAGCGTTTCTCGCCGTTTTCTGGCGCACTCGGGGTCGGCTGTGATGCGGCGCTGTGCGGCTCGGGTGCCGGTCTGCTGCCGCTGCCTGCTGGCTGCAAAACGTTCTGCGTTCAGGGCCGCACTGGAACCTCCTACTTTGAAGTATCACAGTGACACAGCCGGGGAAAAAAAACGTTTTCTAATTTATAAACGTTAAAGCTACTTTTTTAATTATAGGAGGCACATTTTAGAGCGTATTTAGCCAGTGGGATGTTTCTTAGTTCAAAAGTCTCTGAGTTCTGATAATATACTCCTAGGAAAGTGAACAAAATAGCTCAATGGTGAATTATTTGGACAGCGTGCAGCTTTGATATATATTGGAGTCATTTATTAAACAGAGACAGTATTAGGTTAATACAGCCTCTGCTGCGCGTCACCTAAACTACTCATCTAAATGTTGGGTTGTATAAAAACTCTTGTGGGGCTTTCGTGTGCGCTGTATTTATGAGTCTTTACTTTCCCACAGTACCTGAAGGCAGCAATTGACGCAACTTGTGGGACGTAGCACGTACAGGTTGCCCCTGACAACTGAGTTGGCTCTTTTGCTGTCTGCCTGAGATGTTGAGATGGGACCAAAGTGGAACAACATATTACTAAATATGCTGTTTGAAATAAATAAATACAGTAATCCTAAAATACATTTCAACTATAGATATTATTATTATTGTTAGTAGTAGTATTACTATTGTTATTATCATAATTTCATTATTAATTACATTTATGGTCACTATAAACTCTCTTGCAATCCACAGGTCGAAGTAAAAATACTGAAACTTTGATGAACAATAACACTATATCACTATTGTGTTGTGATATGGTGGCTTTTCACAACTTTTGGATTTTGTAAATTCAATGCAAATGCAAAAGGTGACAAAGTAGGCTAATAACCTTCTATTGTATTATTTTTTTATTTTTAAGTAAAGATATTTTCCATAAAAGCTGCTGCGTGCATATGTCACGTGTCCATCATGTAACATTACACATCATTGAGCTATGACAGCACATCAGCTGATGAAGCCGGTACTATTAGCCAATCATACACAGCTCCGCTAACTATAACCGTTATACCGCCAAAAACTAAAAGCGCTGCTTCTTTATTTAGCTCTGGGGGTACTATTCTCCAACCCCTGGCTTATGTTATCTGGAGATGAGTACAATGCAAAAAGTTTTTAAAAAAAAGGCAGAATGATTAGGAGAATGACACAAATAGGTCCTCTCTGGCCTTGTAGTTGAATCCTGAAGGGAAGCATGAGCGTTGTTAGCCCCGCTGTTTGAAATGATGCCTCAGACCATATCTGACTTGTAGACTGAGGAACAGTAACAATAAAGACAATCCACAATAATAAAATAAATCCAAATATAACACAACTAAGCCCCCTATAAGCTGCTCTGGATATATGCACTGACTGTTGTTATAGTTTTCTGAAATTTTAAAAGAGGATTATGATCTTAAAAAAAAAAGAAAAAAGAAAGGTGGAGGCAAAGCTTATATTTGAGCTCTTCTGCCTTTATGTAACGCCACTGCACTTTGGAACAAAGGTTCACCTCTGTGGAAAGGGCAGATCTGACCAAAACAACACCAGCACTTTTTAGGTTGCAGTTCTAGCTTTTTACTATAGGTTGTTAGAGGAGTGACTTCATGCAAAAAAAAATCTGTCTCGTCAATTTAATTAAAATGCATTCTGAAATCATATGGGAGTACTTTGAAGGCGCGGACTCCTTCGTGTTCATGTTTGTGATCGTGGAATCTGAAATGGATGCAGAAAGTCATGAGGCGCTGGAGGTGACCGGGCTGCAACTGACTCAGCTGGTGATGAATGAGCCGTCAGCTGCGATCCGCCCACTCCTCACCAGCTCTGTTATTGTGATCCTCTAACACGTCGAAACGTCCTTAGATCTCTCTGCGATACGTTCACTATGAAATCATCAGGAAGAGAAAAGATGTTTTCATAAAACCTCCGAGTTCAGTGTTCTGAGTTCATCCAATATCGTTCAATTAAAAATAAAATATCTCAACTTTGTCCGCCATCTAGTGTACAAACTGTGGTATTACACAACCGGAGCGCTTCTTCTCAAAGCACTACCAGCGGTAAGTGGTACATGTAGCCTACTTGAGTACTGCACTTGTAAGAAGTTTTGTGGTACTTGTGCTTTGTTGTGCACTTTGAGATACGTTATACAGCCTACTCTCGTATTTTTCCAAAGGGTGTTTCACTTGTTACTCAATTAAATCTATTTGACAGCTAGTTATGTTGCAGATTAAGATCTTATTTACAAAACATATGATCATTTTGTAAATCATTGTTGTGGCGGATTAATGCCAGATACATTAAGCCACATTTCTACCACGTGCAGTAATGCTACTTACATGCCAATGCAGCAAGGCTGGACTGATTGTATTGTAATACTATTTTAATATAGTAACTTTAGAATGATCTGAATACTTCCACCATGACTGAGCACCACATACCCAACTCTGGTTCTAAATAAATGCGTTGAGACAAGAAGAAATTAAGGTTTGGAAATGTTTAATCTCAAAATAATTAATAATTAATCAATCTGTCATATTCCGAGCCTTATGGACCATTCGCAGGGAGTTGGGAAATGCGTCAGTTTTAAGGGTAACCACTAGAGGGCGACAAGTTGACTTTCCCACACAATTCAGTACAGGAGTATTTCCGGGATCATGTCAAAACAAAGGCTGGCGGCCGTCGGGACCATGGCTGTAAGCAAGAGGCATTAGTTGCTATGCAGCTACGTAGCTTTAACGCGAACTTGTTGATTCAACCCAATATGTGTAACTACAATCAACTGAGAGCATCAGCTTTTTATATACAACAACATGGGGGTAAGGGATAGATGAAGCTGATGAATGGGAACTTCAGATTATTTTTGTCAGTGGGACTTTTTGTCATTTGTTATGATACATTTTAAACTTGGTTGGAGGGATTCAAATACAATAAAACATTTAGTTAAATCAGCTTTCATTTTTTTATAGTAATTATTTTATATATTACTCAATAATACCACAAACTTCAGAAGTTATTCTTGACGTGCCTTTGTTTTGAAACAGCAACCCGGAAGTGGTTTCGTCTTCATATTCCCTTCCTTCTGATTGGCTGCGTTCACGCTGATGTGGTGTTCTGAAGTTAGCAAGCCTGGTCGAACGATTCTGACATATTCTTTGGTTTAATAGTAACTTTGCTTTGTTAGAAAAAACAAAAAAACATGCCTTACTTTCAGACTTGGGAGGAGTTCGCCCGTGCAGCAGAAAAACTGTATCTGACAGACCCCATGAAGGTGAAAACACTTTACCCCATACCTGATTTAGCATGCTAGCTGGTTAGCTCGCTAGCCGGATAGCTCGTTAGGGACGTGAATGCGCCAGCTGCCGGTCTTGATGTTTCAGTTGTTCTTGTTTCCAGGTCCGTGTGGTTCTGAAGTACAGACACTGCGACGGCAACCTCTGCATCAAAGTGACCGACAACGCCGTGGTAAGTGACATAAGGGAATAATGTTGAGTACTACATTATACCGAGGTCTGTTGGAGAGACTTACCAAACCTTCCCCTGCGTTCCGTATCTATTTTAATGTATCACTTAACGTTAGAATGCTGGGAAAGACAGTGCGTGAAAGCTGAGGGATTCTACTGACGTAACGTGGAAACGTAAGCAGATGTCAACAACTGTGAGGCTGTTACTTCGTACTTACTTCCACATACTCAGCTGTAGTCAGTAGTGTTCTAATGATTGATGGAATCATCAACTACATTGATCAGCAGCATTACAACAGTGCATTGTGTCTACACACTAGTATTCATAAAGACAATGATCATGTTTGATAGACGGGGCTCAACATCAACTATCACGTGATTAAGTGATTGCCAGGCTGACGTCAGCTTTTGTTGCCTTATGTGCTTAATTAAATGTGAGAGATTTTAGTTTATTTTAGTTCTCAGTTTTCCTCAATAATTCAATGTAAAACAGGGTGCATAATTAATATACAAATGGTCATTTCGTGGGTGAAGTATTCCTTTTAACAATGAACATTTGACATGCATGTGTGTGTGTGTGTGTTGTACATACTTTGCATTATCTTTGTCTGCTTCAGCTCAAAGATGCCGGGATGCTTCGCCTCCCAAGACGTCTCAAATGTCCTTTGTTTTTCGCGCAGGTTCCTCTAGTTCTTTGTCAGTTGTGGTGTTGACCGGTCGGTCGATCTTTCCACCCCACAGTCGTAACAACGTGATTTGCCTCACTTTTTATCTCTGAAACAGATTCAGATTCCTCGCACGGAGCGAACGCACGTGCAGCGTTGTCACATGGGGGTGTTGCCTGGTTACGGTTCTGACCGTAACGGCGATGTTTAAATATCACCAATGCAACGCATTAAAAAATGTATTTATTTTACGGTGCATGTTTGGCCATTTGCTGTCCTTACATTTGATATGTTAAAAAGTGTCCAAGGCCAAGAATCCGTTACAAATTTCTCAAAATGGTTGACAATGGCAACCCTTACTGTCGAGCCCTAATAGATAAACCAAAGTATCGGACAAACCTGATGACGTCGTGAGTTTACCAGCGTCGATACCAATCCATCTGGTAGATGAAGAGATGCAAATTAATGTTTCATATGTGATGGGGTTGTGTCGATAGATGATGATCTTGGGGATCAACGATTGCCAATGTCAAGATATTTAGCTTGTTTTACCATTAATGTATTCAATTATTATTATTGATATAACAGTAATATTAGGATAAATTGAATTTGCCCTGCCGTCGTGAAACGATGACGTGCTCTGAATTTAACGCGACACCGACACACGGGCGCGCACACACACTCGCACTCCGGTTGTAAACATTAGTTATAACAAATAACTAGGTCTGTATCGGAACAGTTCAAAGTGTTGTATTCATAACATTTACATTGAAACTATTATTATTAGTAACATACAGAAACATGGCCTGCAATAGTCCACCTTTTATTCCCCTCTCTCTGTCACTCTCAAACACACAGCGAGCGAAGCAGCGTTCAGTAATTATATCCATATTTTTTTTGGGGGGTTAGCCTTTCAATGACGTCAGATGTTTAAAGCGTCTTTCAAAAACTCAATAAAAGCTTTGATTGTTCAAATCATCATTCATTGTCCCTGCTGCAGTGACTGCAGAATAATCAGATGATTAAAGCAGCTTTATTTCAAACACTGACTTTTAAACAACTTGTTTAACACAAATATTGCACATAAACTAGGCCATTCAGATTTCTTGACAAAGTGCAATTAAATCCCTAATGTCAGCAGACAATGGATAGTAGACATTTTTAGGCCTGCAGATGTAAACTATCCTTTTCTGTAAAGAAATGGACAGGCTGTGACACCAGTAACAATAGTAATGGTAACTTACCCTTGCCCTCATGCTGTCTTTTGTCCGTCCCCGCAGTGTTTACAGTACAAGACGGACCAGGCCCAGGACGTGAAGAAGATCGAGAAGCTCCACGGAAAACTGATGAGACTCATGGTGTCCAAGGAGACGCACAGCGGGTCCATGGAGACGGACTAAAACGCTCTCCAGGCTCTGGCCTTGTAGAGCACCCGGACTGAGTTCAGTGGACACACTGGTTGTTGAGAGCGCAGTACCACCTGACTGCAACGTGGAGTCCGAGAGATGTGAATGTGGTGGGATTGATCTGGCTGCCTACACTGATCTAATGCCGTCAGGGACGTGTCACTCGCACACACTCACACACACACACACACACACACACTCGCACACTCGCACACACACACACACACACACACACACACACACACACACACACACACACACACACACACACACACACACACACACACACACACTCACACACACACACACACACACACACACACACACACACACACACACACACACACACACACACACACACAAACACACACACACAC